GGCAGACGGTGCCACTGCAGCTCATCCACCACATCGCGCGTGATCATTCACCAATCTTTTTTAATTAATATCTCGACTATTATTGCGAATATCGCAAAACGGCATGCGACTTTTGTATTCATCTCAATGCGCTCTACATCCTCACGAGAGATTGTGAAGGTGATTCGGGACACCCTGTATAAGTGATCCAGATATGTAACAGTCATGGCTCGATGAAACAGTTTCAACTAAACGTGTAGATGAATATAATTAAATAAATTTATGAGTATTAACAAGTAACTTTAGCGAGGTTGCTACCAAGAAACCTGGTGATTATTACCAATTTATGTGGTGCGTATCAGCAAATAATTTGTTAAATAGTCATGTCGTTTAGTGATAATTGCCACATATTGTATGATAAAATACGCGAGATGACCGGATATTTAAGTAACAGTCAAACCGTTTATTACAATTATTACAAAATTATGTCCGGTGTGTTACCTAATCATATCACTCAATTGTTTCGACTGAATGAAGAGTTTGCTTTGCTGATTATTTTGTAATTATTATCAGGCGGTCGGTAGACTACTACCACGTTTCACACCAATTGCCAAATACCAAATTGCACTGAAACGCTCGGCCGACTGCATTTGTCAACTATTACAGGACATTTTCCTCCGAGTTCCGTCGCACGCGCGCTCGCACGAGTGATTTCCTCGCGGATGGCGCGGGAATTGCTCCGCATCTTTGGGAGAGAACGCGGGGGAAAGTTCAAATATTTATATCCGACGACCAACAGGTTCGTCGCGCGAAGTTCGCCTCGGCTGGCGGAGATTTCGCGTCGCCAACGACATCCCGGAGCGTAATCCCCGCGGCCGCCTTTATCAGCCAGATTTGCGGGCGCGCGGAGATAAATTCACTCGGAGATTCGGCGCTTATAACGTTATAAGGATGCCTCGTCTACCAGCGGCTCTCAAACTCCTTCGGTGAGGATGCTCTTGGAGCGGATCGCTCGCGATATCGTCGTCCCGCTTCGACGGTACTTCCTCTTCGCATCACGGAGAAGTCGCCGAGCGAGAGAGCTCCGCAGGTCACGCGGAGTCTATAATCGTTAAGGCAGGATATGTCGTGGCGTACTCTCGGAGTAAATCGGCAAATTACTGGCAGATAAAACCGCCCCCCGGGTGCGATTTTCGACGCGCGTCGGAGCCGCAGATGTGCTGCCTCATCTGTGATCCGGCAGTCTCGGGATCGAGTTGGAGTGCGACCAACGTTAAAAGAACGAGATTCGGAACGGGATCAACGTCCGCGGCGGCAAAGAGCATCCATAAAGGTCGCTCAGTGGCCTGGCTGCCGGCCGGGCGTGAAAAAATCTCGTTTCGCGGGACTTAAAACGCGTCGGTGCGTGGTGCAAAGTGGGTTGCGGCGTTGCGAAAGTGCACTGTCAAGGCAAATGAATCGTAAAGGGGAAAAAAAGCAAGAAAATTGCGGGGGCGCAAAAAGGAAATACTCGCCGCGGGATAGCGGCGGCGAGCGTTCGTTTATTATTCGTCAACCCCCCGTAGCGCGAGACACGCGTTGAGCACGCGAAATAAAGATGAATGTAAATTGAGAAAAC